CCAGGGCCTGTGTTCACTTCGTCATCACCAGTTCACGTTATGTATATTGTAAGTAATTTATATGGGTTTGGTTTGTTGGGTTTTTTTTTTTAAAATGTATATATTTTTGTATGTTTGCTATATTTTCATAGCATTGGTAACGTGTTTGAAACATGTAGATAGGAGACAGAACACTATTGTTAGAGTTATTTAAAGGATGTATTAAGTGCTTCTTCCTGGGAATGTCCCGTGTATATAAAGTATTAGGTGTCTGTGTGCATGCGGTGCGTGTGCTCTCCTCCCAGCTGAGGTTCGGCCGGGCCGGCTCTGGGCCAGGGGCCGCAGGTGGAGCAGAGGTGGCAGGGGACGGGCAGCCCCGCAGGGTCCCCGAACCTGCTCCCCGCTTTGGAAACGCGAGAGGGCTGAAGGGAAGCCTTCGGCAGCGAGCGCAGGCGGGCAGTGCTGCCACGGAGGGTGCCTCGGGTTAGGACTGCATCGTGGTCCTGGCAGCATCCTTCCCCTGCCCCTGGGCAGAGAGCGGGCTCGTCTCAGACACTGCCACTGCTACTCCCATCGCCTCCCGACTCTCCCCATCCAGCTGCCACGCTGTGTTAAACACTTTTAAAGGTTTCATGCTGGCTGTCCATGTGCTTCCTTGGCTCCAGGCGCCTGCCCGAAGGAGGAGGCAGGAGGGCACAGGGGTGCTGGTTGTGATGGCTTTGGGACTGCTGTAAAAGCTACCTTTGAAAAACTCAGTTGATACGAAGGACAGACGCTGTGGAAAGGTTGCAGAAGGATGCGGGCAGGAGAAAACAAGCGTGCTGTAGCTTGAAGATCACTTAAAGTGAGATGGTGGTTGGTCACCATAGAGGTTGTTGAACGAGCAGATTGCACAGAGGGAAGTAGAGTGCAGAGGGGAGAAAATACTGGTAACGACGAAGCTTTCGTAATGGGAAGGAAAGGCAGGTCGAAGAGGCGATGACGGAGAAGTGCGTAGAGGTCAGCAGCAGCGGTTGGCGATGGAGGACTCCAGCTCGGCGGCAGCGGCGCCTGGAGCAGGGAGACCCAGCAGTGCGGTCCGCAGAGCCCAGGGCTGGGGCGAGGTGGGTGAGCTTTGCGCGCTGTGCAGGAGCAAGTTGTTACTCCTTTTACAAACGGCTCCATTGGCTCTTCTGGTTTCTAGAACAGGTTTTCAAGCCAGAGATTTAAAACTATTGGCCTTGTACTTTTTTGGTTCCTTTTACATAGCCGGGCAGCACAGCCACCAGGCTCAACTCTGGTAGACGCCCATGACGTTTGGTTTGGTGACGGGTACAGTGCTGGTGGAGGTGCCCATGAGCCGTGTCCAAAAACCCCGGCAGCAGTAAAAACCGAGCAGCTGTGAGATGTACCAGGGTACCTGGGATGTGGTGCTGCAGCTCTGATAACAGCGCTGGGCACACGTCTGCAGTCGCGTCCAGCTCATTGCCCCTCTGGTGTCCTCCCTGGGGCTAGGAAGGACACAGAAAGCAAAACCCTACTCGGTGAGATAAGCACAGGCCTGGGAGAAATTCAGGATCTCTGTTCTACTCCTGTCCTTAAAGCCAAAGTTTCGGACTCTTTGGCTATGCCTCGAAAGGAGAGGCACCGGAGGAGTATTTAGTTGCATAAACAGCAACTACCTGCAAAGACAAAAGCAAGTTGCTCATCTTCTAACACCGCTGCGTAAGCATGCAGGAATTTTTTTGGCCAACAGAGATGGAGAAAAAAAGAGAGTGGCTGTAGGAAAGCACTCGCTGGCACGTGCTGCTGGGTGGGCCACCAACTCCTCCTCCAGAACGGCCACTTTCAGCCTCCTGGCTGGCCCCGTGCATCCCTTCCCACCGCAGCGGAGCAACGAGCGTGGAGCCAGCCACCCCCAAGGGCCAGTTCAGCGAGTAAAATGAACCGAGCAGGTCTTGGAAATCTCTTGCAGCTTCAAGAGCCAAAAAGTTCAGTTCTCAGCTCTGCCCTGTCCCCACAGCCCGGAGCATGCTCATTTAAAAGAAGTTGTTAATAAAGATGGCTGTTAATTAAGTAGAGGAAGGAGAGGCGGAGGCGAGCAGGGACCTGACTGCTCAGAACAGCCTTGAATAAGCTAAGGGGAGGCGAGCGAGCGGGTGCAACAAGGATGCTCCCTCAGTGAAGGGTCAGGATTTTTTGTTCCCAAGTGCCTGTTTCTTACCCGGCTTGCTCTGCGTGTGTGCGAGTGTGACTTGATGCGTGTGACTGACTTACCCAGTGCTTCTTCTAATCAGAGAGGAGCGGAAACAGGATAAGACAAGTGCCCTACTTCTTCCCTTCACTTGAAGTACGGAGAGCAGCTCTAGAGCCCACAGTTGTTTCTTGCAAAGCCCCAACACCTCTGCGAGGGCCCACGTCCGTGGTGGGCACCACTGCCAGCTTCCAAGCAATCGCCTTTCTCAGCGCAGCATTTCTGTGTACAAACTATAGCAGCGCTCACAGGGTTCCTTCCCTGTCCCAGCTGAGGTACCGCGTATACAAGCGCTTAGCTGCAGCCCGAGTTAACTAGTCATGGACCTGTACCTTCGACAGCAATAAACTTGAC